GACATAAATAAAAAAAAAATGAGGCATGGACCAGAGTGTCCGAAACAATCGGTGTTCCAGGTGAGATGGTGAAGTGCATAATATATTTTTTTGTGAAAAAGGAAGGAGATCAGTAGTAATTTTGGCGCCATAGCAGAGAAAACAGTGCAAATTGTCGGTAATGTTAACCCTATTTATAGCATTAGTGTTTGTCAAAACATAATTATGTGTTTTAGTAGAACTGTCGTGAAACATTTTAAGTACTATTTATGTTAACTAAAGAAACATAAAGCACAAGCAACTACTTGGCGATCATCCATTGTGATCCAAGGTAAATTTGAAAAGAAGCGCTACACTATTTATAGGTAACATTTTCCCTCCAGAACGCTTGATTTTAAGTGGGAATGCAAATAACTGGCTCACAACAATATTTATTTGACAAATTATGTCCTATCAGGAGTTGGTGCAAAGATATAAGCTACACGTTTGTTTGTTTTGCGACCCCTTTAAAAAGTTCTCAGAGCCTGGCATTCTGAGCGGCCTTGTCCCCGCCCACTCTATGACGTCAGAGAGCGTCTCCGGCGTTGGCTAGCGTCGCGTTCAGGGCGGCGGGAGCGACGGCTGGCGTCTTTGACGCTCGCGGTGTGAACGTAGCATTACTCCTGATCTCCCAGGGACGGCACGCGCTGAGAGATCCAAGTGGCACTCAGATACCCAACCAGCCACCAACCCCCTCCCGACACGATAATCTCCAAGTAAATTCAAATTTCAGTCTTCCACAAATTGTCTTTCCCCCAAAAGACAACCCAATGAATTACAAACAGTCAAAAAAATATATATAAAAAACCAAAATATTGTTGCCGAGTTACCCTGGTACAGCTCGTATTATTTAAATGTTAATGCCAATGGGTGACACCAGCCTATAAACTGTAACTATTTTATGCCGGGGTGTCTGAAATGTGATTTGCTATTAGGTAATTGGTCAGAATGCTGGTATATTAGTTTAGGGACAGTGAATGCTAGCAAACTGCTCATTTCCTGAATCTGGAGGACCTTGTAGCTTAGAGGGAGTTGGTGGCTAACACCGAACACACCATGAAATATTCCCAATAAGGACACAGCCTCACACCCTGGTCTGTGCACTACTGCTATGATAAAGACGCAGTAAACACAATGAGCTGCCATAGCTGATGTATATGGCTTAGGTGTTGACTATGGTTGATGTGTTTTACATAAATAAAAGACGACACACTGAAATATTCACAGATTACATGCAGATGGCACAATTTCCCTACTGGTTCAGAAGACGAGGTCTTGCTAGTCTGGAGAATCACATTTAAAACTGAGAAATCCTCCTCAGCTTTAAGCCTGGAGAACGCACTTTAGATCTGAGACAAAAGAGTATTAATCCTCAGAAAGGCCACAATAAAATTCGTACGATTAGCTAGAGATATGGCAGCTCGTGCTACGAAGATGAGTTTCGCAACCTAAATAAAACATCGTAGCCGGATTACAGCGAAGTAGCGGAAGTGCAGCAGAGGGAGAGGAACATCTGCCAGAGAGTACTGTTTGCAAACAAGGACGGCTGGTGGACCACATAAGCAGGACCTCACGGATGACAGTCATCAAACAGATGCCCAGCACATCTGTTCAAGCGTGGTGTATGGTAACAGGGGGAGTCCATACTATCATGGGGAGTAATGAAATGAATTAACTTAAACTTCCTTATTTTTCCTTACTGTACACACACCATTCACATCAGCTCAAGCAAACACGCATTCGCATCAAGGTGCACATCGGGCCAGGCTGTTTGGGACCAGATGCCTCCCACTACTCACTGTCTGAAACCTCAATTCACCATCTAATGAAACCCACTCAAGATTAGTATGTTCCTCAGAGGCAGCCGTGTTTAAAGCAACTCGCCCTTCTCTTAGAAACTGCCATGCCGGCGAGGGACGAAGGCTGTTTTGGCAGACCCAGCGCTCCTCCGAGAGAGAGGCCCCGGAGAAAACACCCTTGTTTACTCCTTGGAAAATGCTATGGACGGATACAATAACGACATCAAAGGCCTGGCTTGTATGTTGCGTGTTCTTCCAGACAAACGAGAAGCACAGCAAGGGTATAATTCAGCTCTCCCACAATGCAACTTCACACATGTGGAGTAATCAGGCTGATGTTTTGGAGACAAAATGAAATCTTTTTTAGTATCGGGCTCGCCGAGGAGCTAGCCGAGGAGCTAGCCCACCAACTTATAAACGGAAAGTAGCTGGCCACGGCCTTAACGACCTCATAAAAGCCCTCGCTTCAAAGCAGAAAGGGGCGACCACATCGTGTCGTCAAAAACGCCAGAGAAAGGCAGAGATTCAGTGCAAACAGCAGCAAATACAATATTAGTGGTAGCTCAGAGATTTTAAATGGTGCGATTATCGAAACAATTCATTAAAACGCCTGTCTTCACTCTTTCTTTTACCCTAATGGGAGAAATCGATGGTGGGTGGGATTAGTGCCCGCTGTCAATCATTGCCTGGTTTAACCCAATGGGAGCCAATAAGCTACTCAATGGGAGGTGGGGCAAACCAATAGGTGATCAAGAACAAACTATAATTCCACCCACATCCTTATTGATGGCTCATTTTCCCTCATCGCTACTCAGCAGTGTTACCATGAAATTATTTATTACTTCATCATGGTTTGTCAGATGATTTCATTCAAAGTGACTTAAACCCATTTATATGGGGTGGACATTTTAAACTTGAGTTAATTCAGTCTAAGCTCTGAGGAGGTGAATGGTGTCCTTAATGGCCATGCCCCCTACTGCCCAATTGAGGAAAAATGTACAGACATAGCCATCTCAGCCAGGGGTTGACAGTTCCATGCGGTGTGATGATTGAACTAATGTGAAGACATCCGTGGATGTTTAGATAATTATGAATGTGCAGCCCATAATACTTATTAGGAAGTTGATACCAAAATGCTGTTGCCTGTCAGTGCATTATTGTTATTTGTCGCACTCAGATCTTAACAAGCTTGTGTCGCTGCCATTTTTTCCAGGGTTTGAATGAAACGCTAATGAAGAGTCCAAAGATAATTTCCTGACTAGCGGTTTTTAAGAAGCTTGGCTCTGATTGTACATTCGAGCATTCTTAAAGCAGAGACAAAAAGCTAGGCTTGCATTTTACATCTCAGAATCTAATTTTACCGCTTCTAATGTTCTCACATTTCCATCACAAATCTATCCAGCTGTTTGTCATCTCCAAACTATGTGAAGGACTGAGTTTAATTGTCGTTTCATAAAGAACCGAATCGAGAAGCCTTTAGATCTTTTTATCTGTAATATAAGATGACATTCAAGTCTGGAATGAGCTGTAACTGACACATACAACAACGACTAAATAATTACACAATTAACAGCTTGGCTGTAGGCCTGAACCAACTCCTGAATCATGAAATGACCGTGAACCCACTCTGGACGTGATATCTTCAACTCAATAAGCATTTCTCTTCAAAGACCTGGCAAAAATGCCCCTTCAGACCCGCAGTGGCACAGAGAGACATGCAGCACCACTACTCTAATGGTAACAGAAAAGCATTTTGGCAAAATTAGGTAGTAACATTGTGACCGTAGGCCCTACGAGTTTAAGTGATCTTAACTTCCCTCCACTTCGAAGTCAAAATGGCAGAGGGTACTACAAAAAAGGGGTTACTCTTGAGTATTCAAGATTCAGATCGGTGATGGCAAACTTATCAGAGCTAAGGGGAAAAAAATCTGGGTCATTCCATGGTAGAAGATAACAGGGTGTGTGTGCGTGTGCATATATATATATATATATATATATATATATATATATA